CACACACACACACACACACACACACACACACACACACTCATTACTGACTAATGAGGGAGCTCTGGTGACCTAGTGGTAAGGAGTTGTGCTGGAGAACACATAGTCTCCTCCCAAGTGACTTACAGCCTCTGAAAACCCACACGAGGGTCAATTAAGCTTATGTAAGAGTTAGTGTGGTCAGGAAGTTTCTGGTCAAGAATCCTGGGACTAAGCTTACCAGTCCATCCAGGTCCCAGCTGCCCTGCCCTGCCCTGCCCTGCCCTGCCTGGGCCCATCAAGAGCTCAGAATTGCCCCTGCTAACTTCTGAGGGGCGGGGGCAGCCTCAGCTCTGTCCTCCATCGAGGTCTGCAGAGCACTCTGGCCTGGTGATTTTAGGCAGCAAGAGAAGCCAGACTGCATCTGAGCGGGAAATGGCTGGACTGCAGCTGAGTGAGTGACATAGAGTCCAGGTCTGACAGTCCATGCTGGCTCCCTCTCTGGTGACAGCTTCAGAGTCATAGGCCAGGACCTCTGGGAGCCCCAGGTCTAAGCATCCCTCAGGTGGCCCTCTCCCCCTGGTCTTCCACGTTCTGTGGCCTGGAAGCTCCTGGCTTTCCCTTGGAAACTTCTTGCAGCTCATCCTTACCCCGAAACACAGCTCTACTCCCCAAAGCTGTACTTTTCTAGGGTGCAGAAAGCCCTTTCTTCCTGCCAAAGCCCTGCTGTGCCTTGTCGTGACTGTTCTCAAAAGTGGAGCCCCTGTCCCCAAGGAGACACATTCCAGCAATGCTCCCTGTTCGCACCCCACAATTGGTGCTTCTAACAAATGTGGGACTAGAGGGGTCAGGGTTCAAGCCTCCTGCAAAAAAAGGTCCTCTGGGCCCACTTCCTGTTTTCACAATGAAGTCCTTGCCTTGAGGGTTGTGGTGGAAATGCAAGATAATCTATGTCCCTCACCTACTACAGTGTCTGGTACACAGATCTTAAACACAAGGCCACTTTAATGGTCACCATTATCATCCCCCAGGGAGGTGATATGGGAAGAAGGGAAGTCCTGGTGCCACTAGCATATGAGTATGTCCTGTCTTCCCAGGCACTGTCCCAGAGCCACCCTTCCAGAATCCAGCCCCACACCCAGCTCCAGCTGCCCGAGTGGCTCAGCCGCCCCGCAGCCTCCCTGCTAACCGAGGTGAGGTGCCACCAGTTCTTTGGCGCAAGGGCTGGGCACTGGGAGGGCACAGCCCTGTGTGAGGGCAGCCCTGCACCCCAGATGCCTGATGGGGGGGTGGGTACAGGAGATTGCAGAGACAATCTTCCCAGGGACACTGGTGGCTAAACAATGCTAACAGTTCCCCAGGATGAAACCAGGGGTTTGTTGGGCTGAACTTGATAGGAAGTGAGTCGCTCTGCCTCCAGCTGGGGCCCCATGATTGGAGTCCCAGGAGGTAGCCAGCACCTGGGGACAGTGGCTTCAGGGTGAGAGGGGCCGCCCAGAGTGCTGACCTGGGCCTTTCTCTGCAGCTGCTGCAGTTTGATCCCAGCCGGCGCCTGGGTGCTGGAGGCGGAGGTGTCAGCAAACTCAAGGCCCACCCTTTCTTCAGCACAATTCAGTGGAGCAAACTGGCTGGGTAGGAGGGGTGGGGCGCGGGCTTGCGCTGCCTTCTCGGCCTCTCCTCTGCCTGGCACCGGGCTGGCCTCTAATCAGTGAGCCTCAGGCACAGGCTGCAGGGCGGTGGCCTTTCCTGCTCAGTTCCCTCCCGGAGGCCTCAGAATTCTTTCCAGGCATCATCTTTGGGGCCACCAGCCAAGAAACTTGGGAGTCCCCCAGCCAGTGCCAAGAGAGGCCCTTTCTCGTCTCACTTCTAAGCAGAGACCTCTCCACCCACCAGTCAACTGATGCCTGTGTCAGGCCAGAGATAGGCCTGGACCAAAGGGTGCCTTGTCACATACGCTGACTGACCACCTGCTGAGCCTGCTGGAAGGTTCTGGCATTCACCCACCCACCCACCGTGTGTGACCTCATTGGGACATCTCTAGAGACTTGTCTCCAGACACCATCCACCAGCTGGTCATCTTAGCCTTGCAACCAGTTGTCCTCTTCTGCCAGAGGTGCTTCCTGCAGGACTTGGGAGGCAGAAACTGCATCAAGGGCCAGCAAGCAGTAAAATGGGGACTCAATCCCCATTCATGCCCAACACCCCTCCCCCCCAATCTCTTGATTTCAGACTTCAGAGAGCAGGAGGAACCTTGGGGAGGAGTGTTATGTCACTCACAGCAAATAGGAAGCTACTCCCTTTCCCAGCAGGCCCACCGAGCAGGGAGGAAGGGGCCTAGCCCACAGGGTCAAGAGTCTGCAGCTCAGCCTCCATCCAGCCTACAGCAGCCAGCTGCCAGGATATTCAATCCTGTTCACCGGCTCACATTTCTTGAGGTTCCATTCAATCCCCTTTTTATCTCCCTTTGATATGAGAAAACCACAAAACACAAGGGAGGCTATCCAAGCTTTAAGGCAGCAGCAGAATGGCCTGATCTCCACACAGCTGGGAGCGAGCAGTTGCCCAGTCTCCCAGGTCTGGGGGCCTCTTATTTTCTTACATCACTCATTCCTTCCTAGTCCCTGACACACAGCACCTCAGGTCAACCTCGACCCTCACTTCTTCCCTCCAGACCAGGACAACACGAAGTTCTGTTCTGACTGTAACTTAGATCTGTGTTGTGCAGAGGTACGCCTCAGGCTGACGCTGGAGCAGGAGCCGGGGAAGCTATGGCTGCGTAGACTAGTCCTAGGTCCCGGCTAGCCTGCCCTCATCTGCCCCCAGCGAAATAAACCAGCTGTTGTCTATGGCATTCTCGCCTCACTGATGTGATGTGGTAGGGGGCACTGGAAGGTGCTCCTAGAAAGGCCTGTAACTGGTATATGAAAACTTGGGGCCTACTAGGAAGTTGAAGCAGGGCAGCACGAACTGCACGTTGGCTGCTAGCCGGGAGCTTGAAGGGAAGTGGTGCCCTGTGGCAGGTAATGACTGTGGGAAATAAAAGGGGAAGGGAAATGCTGGAAGGATGTCCAAGTGCAGTGTGTGGGGGTTACCAGTTTAATCCTCAGCATTCACGGAGACAAATCCTGAGAAACTCGAGCCTTGGGGACAAAAATCATATGACCCACAGGAGGCTGTGGAAACACTCAATTCCAACATCTGCACGATGGCTTCCTGAAGGCAAGTCTTGAAACTTTGACCTTCATATTCAACAAACACTGCATATATGGGACTTTATTATTGCTAATAATGGGTTTAGTGAGTAGAGCTGCACTGCCAACCCAGAGTAGGAGGTTCAAATCCACCACCTGCTCTGAACGGAGAAAAATGAGCAACCTTGGATGTGATTTACAGCCTCTGAAAACCCACAGCTGAGGTCAGCTGAGTCAGTTCCAACTCTATGGCGATAAGAGACAATTATGCCCTGGACGTGGTCAGAATTTCTATATTATTCCTTCCACTGAACCTCAAACTCTCCTACTGACCCCCAGCTCTACCTTCTGGGCCTTTGATCTTGTCAAAGGCCACTGTGAGGTCAGCAGACAGCTTCAGTGAAGACCAGGCTGTCCACTCACCTGCTGACCACTGCTCCAAGGGGCTCCACTATCATCTGTCCTGACCTCAGGCATCTCAGCATAGATGTGGCAATCAGATGCAAAACTATGAGAGATGCTCCCCACCTCTCCCCAAGTCTTCTTGGAAGAAAATGCAGGGTACCATAGAGGCAGGGCCCTGAGTTCTCGGGAATAAGACTGGACAAGTTCGAGTTGTTACTGGGAAGAAAGCTAACACCAAGCTCACTTGTTCTGTTCTAGTGCGTCAGGGTTTTTCACTTTCTATCAACATGATTACGGACTTGACTTCACAAGTAGGGGCTGCCTCACAGGAAAACCCACAAGACAGTAAATGGCTTTCTATGCCAACAGCCACTGTGAACAAGCTTCCGAAGGCCCACACCATAGTAACTATGAGGAGTCCAGAAACAGGAACCCTGCTTGAGAATATTTGCCCTTTAATTTCCATTTAAAATGTTTTTTAAATACTTTAGTTACAGGTTCTGAATAGTGAAGACAATAGATGCTGCAGGCACTCAGTATTGCTCCCTTCCCTTCCCCCCCACCCCCAGGCCCTGCCTCTTTCCTCAAGATAAAAGTGGGCACGCTGTGCTGAGTAAATGGCCCCTGCTGTAAAGTGTCAGCAGCCTCAGGCCGAGGCGCAGCTGGATACAAAGCAATGAAACCCGGTAGTCATCACCTCCTCCAGTGACCATGTCCAGACCCAGTGAGTGGGCTCTATACCCTCAGAGATGACATCAGTACCTCACCACAGTCCATCCTCCCCCAGATCTGTGTCCTGCAGAGGAAGAGCTGCTACGGTCCTGTTCCCCAAAGGCCCCAGGGCAGGAAGGAACAGAAGTGTCTGAAACCCACATGCTTATACCAGCTTGAATATAAAAGCTCGAATCAATCTGAATCAGTCGGTGGCTGAGCCAGTCTGCAGAACCCTCCACCCCACCCCAATCTCTCCCAGGCTCCAGTCTGTGGTTGATGATGCCCTGCCCCTCTGCCGGGCTGTGCTCTACATGGCGATGTGCTGCAATCTGCTCTACGTGGCAGGGTGCTAGAATGGTGTGCAGCAGCCTAGAAGGGACTGGCGTTACTGCAGCTGCAGAGAGTTGTGCCACAGTGGGTCTCCTTGGGGCGAGTGGAGGGGCAGGTCTGGGTCCTCCTACCACCCACGAAGGACCCCAGGAGGAACCTGCTCTCCCCACCCCCTCCTCTAGCCTAGAGCCCTGGGCCTGTGCTTCCTGGAAGAGGTAGAAGAGGCATCTTAAAGTCAATGAAAGCTGAAAAGGAAGGTGCCATTTAAGAAGCGAAGCAGCACCTCCTGCCCTGTGGTCAAGACCTCACACAGCTGGATGTGCACAGCCAGCAAGGCTGCTCTAGCGTGGGAGGCCCAGCAGCTTCTCAGGCCCGCCAGCCCCCTAGGCCCGTCTCTGGAGAATGGACTTTGACAAGATTGACATTTAAACACGCGGCGGTTTTCCTAGGACATACTGGCACTAGGGAGAAGCAAAGTCATTTCTGCAGAGAGCTGCAGAGGGAAGAAAGGCAGAGGAATACTAATGAGCATCCATGAAGACTCTTTCGAGCCTAAGAAGTATGAGGAAGGTGCGCAGAGGGAGAGCGCCTGGCAGGAACACCACCAGAAGAGGCCTGTGACTGCTGGTTACATAGTGCCCTGGCTTCCTTGAGGCCAACACGTGTGCCTGTTTGCACCAGGCTAACCCAGGACCCGTGAGGGGACAGGGAGAAGACTGGTTTTCAGTTCCTGTATGGTCGACTTGGGAGGACTTGCAGCTTCCTCCTAAAGGTCCAGAAGGAGGACTCTGGGATCCTCTACTGCTGCCTTGATTTTGCGGAGGAAAGTCACTGCCTCTCTGCCATCGATCAGGCGGTGGTCGTAGGTCAGTGCCACGTACATCATAGGCCGCACCTCCACCTGCAGAAAGGAGAGGTCAAGAGGCTTAATTACAAGAGGTCAGAGAAAGCCCTGCTGAGAGGGAGATGAAAAAGCAAGACCCACAGGAGAGTTCCCAGTCTCAAAGTCTTTTCTACTGAAGTTGCTTCTGGATAATGTAAATATTTTCAAAGACCAAAGGCACCCTTTGAAGCACAATCAATAAAGAACTCAGCTGTTTACCAAAAGGTTGATGGTTCAAACCTACCAAGGGCTCTGCTGGAGAGAGAGCAGTCTACTTCCCTGTTGTTGTCAGGTGGCATCAAATACAACTCATAATGACCCTCTGAAAAACAGATCTGAATACTATCCTATCCAGAGCCATCAGCCACTGCTGCAGTCATCATGTCAATCCATCTCGTTTGAGGTCTTCCTCTTTTGCTGACCCGCTACCTTTCCAAGCATGATGTCCTTCTCCGAGGAACAGCCTCTCCTAGCAACATGTCCAAAATATGAGAGATGAAGCTTCCAAGGAGCACTCTGGCTGTACTTTTTCAAAGACCTATCTGTTTATTCAGAAGGTCAAGGACTGTAGTCTTCAATATGGACTGAAGCTCAACATCAAGAAGACAAAGATTGTTAACTCTAGGCCAACTGGCAGCACCATGATGGATGGTGAAGAGACTGAGGTTGTTAACATTTACAGCTTGCTCGGCTCCATAATCAACACTCTTGGCACCAGTAGTCAGGAAATTAAAAGAACTGCATTGGGAAAATAGGCTGTCAGGGACTTTTCCAGAGTGCTGAAAAGTAACAATGTCAGCCAACAGACTAAGATGCACCTGATCCAGTCCATGGTCTTCACATTTACCTGCTGTGCATCAGAGAGCTGGATAATGACTAAGAATGATAGAAGAAGAATTGATGCTTTTGAGTTGTGGTGCTGGAGAAGAGTCTTGAACATACCATAGACTACCAAGAAAACAAACAGGTCTGCCTTGGAGAGGGTGAAACCAAGTCTCTCGGAAGCTAGGATTTTGAAGCTCTATCTCACATACTCTGGGCATGTGGCCAGGAAAGATTGGTCCTTGGAGAAGGACATAATGCTCGGAAGGGTGGAGGGACAGCAATGGAGTGGAAGACCCCGGATGTGATAGATTGATACAGAAACTGAGGCAATGGAGGTTGGTGTGTTGAAATTAGTGAGACTGGCTCAGGACAGGGCAGCCTTCAGAGCTGTTGTACACAGGGTAGCTATGGGTTGCGGCAACTCGAAAGCACTTAACAACATCTGCTTATTCTTTTGGCAGTCCATGGGATATTCAGTACTCTTCTCAAACACCACAGCTCAAAAGCATCTATTCTTTTTTCATCCTTATTCACTGTCCAGCAGTCACATGCAGAGTGACTGACGAGATCATGGCCTGAATTAAGTTCACTCTAAACTTCAAACTGACATGATTCTTCAGAATTTGAAAGGTCCCTAACAGTGGACTTGTCCAAGGCAAAGTGTTCCCTGATCTCCTGACTGCTGGTACAAAGGGTGCCAATTGTAGATCCAAGTAAGATGAAATCACTGACAATTTCAATCTTCTCTCCATCTATCATGATTGCCCAGTGGTTAAGGACTTTTGTTTTCCTGACATTGAGATGTAATTCATATTGAAAGATGAAGTCTTTGATCTTCTGCAGCAAGAGCATCAGGTCCTTCTCACTTCAACAAGCAAGGTTTTATCATCAGGCTACTGATGAGCCTTTCTGCAATCCTTATGCCATATTCTTCTTAAGTCCAGCTTCATGAATTATTTGCTCAGATACAAACTGACTAGGTATGGAGAAAGGATAGAACTCTGACACATTCTTCCTGATTTTAAACCATGCAGTGTTCTTTTGTTCCATTTGGACAGCTTCTTGGTCTAGATATAGATTTCCTATGAGTACAATTAAATATCCTGGGATTCCCAGTCTTCTCAATGTCAGTCATAGTTTGTTGTGATCCACATAGTCAAATGCCTCTGCAGAGTCAATAAAACACAGGTAAGATACTCTTCTGGTATTTTCTGCATTCTGTCAAGATCCATCTGACATCAACAATGATATTCCTGGTGGCATGGCCTTTTCTAAATCCAGCTTGAATTTCTGGCAGTTTCTTGTCAATGTACTGTTGCAGTCGTTTTTAGATACTCGTCAGCAGTATTTTGCTTACATGTAATATTAATGATACTGTTCAACAATTTACACATTCTGTTGGATGTGTTTTCTTGAAAATAAATACGGATCTCTTCCAGTCAGATGGCCAGGCACCATAAGTTGGTGAGCACTCCAGTATTTTTAGTTGAAAGATGTCAATCAATATCCCATCTATTCCTAGGGCCTTACTTTTTTGCCTGTCTTCAACGCAGCTTGAACTTCTTCCTTTGTTACCACTGGCTCTTGCTCATATGGTAGTTTCTGAAATGTTTCAGTGCCAACCAATTCTTCATGGTATAGTGATAATGTGTATTCCTTCTATTTTCTTTTGATGCTTCCTGGATCATTCAAGACCTTTCCCACAGCATCTCTCAGTACTGCAACCAAGACATGAGTCTGTTTGTCAGAGAAATACTTAGCAAGTGGCTCTTCATTGACATCTAGGAAGGCAGCCTCTGCCGCAGGCCAGTGCTGGTGGGCCCTTAGGCCTTGTGCCAAGAACCAGCACCAAAGACCTAGATAAGCTAGTGACTCAGCCAAATACCTACAGGACCCAAATACCAGGACTCCAACCTGCCATGCCACCAAGGGCCTCAGTTGAGGCCAAAAAAGGGTGTCCTGTGCAATGATATCTGCACAACTGATTGTTTTTAAGTTTGTTGTGAGAGGTACACCAACTATCCGTCAGTTCATTGTATCATTGTTGATTGATTTCCACTTGGCACCAGCAGTCAGGAAATCAAAACACATTGCATTGGGAAAATCTGCTGTCATGGACCTCTCCAGAGTACAAAAGAGCAATGATGTCAGTCTAGAGACTAAGATGTGCCTGATCCAAGCCATGGTCTTTGCAATTACTTGCATCAGAGAGCTGGACAATGACTAATGATGCTATAAGAATCAAGTTGTGGTGCTAGAAAAGAGTACTAAACATACCATGGACTGCCAAGAGAACAGGTCTGTACAAGAGTGTGTGAAAAGAAGCTGCTCCTTGGATTTTTGAAGGTCTGTCTCACATACTTTTGGCATACTGTCAGGAGGAACCAGTCCTTGGAGAGGGCCATCACGCTTGCAAGGGTGGAGGGTCTTTGGATGAGATGGACTGACTCAGTGACTGGAATAATGGGGGTAGGTGTGTCAGAGACAATGAGATTGGCTCAAGATGGGGAAAGGTTCAGCTCTGTTGTCCACAGGGTCACTGGCAACTTGGCACATAACAACAATAAGTATGCTGGGTATATATGCTTGCTGGTTCACTACTGGCTCTTATTAGCACGGCACTCGTCAGTTCACTGTACTGGTGCAATTCCTAGGGTGCTATGCCACTGCTGAGTACCTCTCTAAAGATTTACAAACTTAGAAACTGTCAAACAGTTCTACCCTAGCCTAGAGGATGACTACAAGATAAAGTCACTCAATGACAGTGGGCTTGATTTCATTTTTTTGGCTCAAAGATCAAGCCTTACCAAGCATAAGGACCAAACAAAACCACCACCAAAAGAAAGACCAAACTAATGCAAAGCTTCTCAACTCAGAAACAAAGTTTAGCCAAGAAAACACGAGTCCCCACCGCTAGCTAGTATACTAGCTTAGTATGCGCTGAACTCTTCTCATCTGTGCTCCAGAGGGTTCATTCAGTGTGAGCCATCTGGAATTGTTGCGCTTACAATTTAAATTGTTTTTAAGCTAGTGTTCACTGATTCTCTGAAACTTTAAGTAAAACTGGACATATAAGCATTTCCAGGGGCAGAAGATCAAGTTTTCCGATTCACAGAGGAGTTACAAACCGTTAAGCAACAATACTTAACATAGTTGTCAAGCTCCATTGATCTGCACCTCTGAACTCTCAAAGAACTTCTAAGTCTTATCTACAATGAAACAGCTCATCCACTGCTCTGCTGTCTTCCTCAGCTTTCCAGGGGTAAGGGTGTTGTCTCCAACTGTGCCTCCCATCTCTACAGCACTAGAGAATAAACCAGCTTCATTCAAGGTGTCCTTTTTTGACTGATGCCAGATGAAGACACGGAATCTTGGCTCAGTGATTTGCACACTCTCCTGCAGTTGCTGAATCAGTAGATCTAGGGAACGGCCCAAGAATCTTTTTAACAAGCTCCCAAGTTAGGCTGATCCACAGACCACATCTTTAAAACCTATGCCTTAGCCATTAATTAGAAACTAAAAGCCAAAACTGAAACAATAGTCCATCTTTTGTAATTAACTTTTGGGTCAGAACTACCTCTCATCACCTGGCAGCTACAACTTGAGAGATTCCTACCTTGCCTCCCACGGCCACCGGCCTATCAAAGATGCCGTGCATGCCCAGGATAGCAGACTGAGGAGGATTGATAATGGGTGTTCCGAACAGTGAGCCGAAAACGCCTCCGTTGCTAATGGTGAAAGTGCCACCATCCATATCTTCAATGGCAAGTTCATTCTTTCGGGCCTAAAAAGGGATTTCATAAGTAAAACATTAGCCCACCTGTGCTGCCCAGAGCAGACCTTGTACTGTATTGAGTTAAGTATTAGGCTGCTGACCACATGTTTGAATCTACCAGTGCCTCTGCGGGGGAGAGAGGGCATTGTTCTCTTACAAAGATTCACAGCCTTGGAAGCCCAGTGGCAGCTGGCATGAGCTGGAACCAACTGACAGCAGTGCATGTGGTTTTGGTTTTTGATGCTGTCAGACATGAGCCAGCCAGTGCCAAGTGTGGAAGTCAGGCTCCAAGTGAACTGGGCCTATGGGAGGAGGGGGCCCGCTGGGACACATGTCCATCCTGACACAGGAGTCTTTGTTTCTCCTTTGTCAGGTGTGACAGACGTCTTAGGAAGCAGAGTGAGCATACAGAATCATGAGCATGGCTTACTGGTAAACCTGGCCACCCAGGGCTCCTCTCGACCTGCCCCAAGAAGCTCAGACAAATCTGTCATCATACTTTACCTTCTCCCCTAGTTCACTGATGGTTCTCTCAATATCTGCGTAATTCATTGTTTCCACATTCCTGATGACAGGAACCACCAGACCCTATAGGGAATGAAAAGCTGTTACCAGTTGCAAGTAGCACCTTTTATAGAAAAAACTCCCTTGATCTGAGCCAATATTCTCCCTCCACCAGAACAGTTTCATTACCAAATGTGATTAACACAAAATCTAAAATATTTAAGTCAGAAGGTGGTGATGAAGTAAAAACTAGGCAACTTTTTTACTAGCTCCCTTCTAAAAAGTAGCAGAAGGCATCTCCTCTGAGATCTGTTTCTTCACACAGATCAGTTCAAGCCCAGAGCTCCCAACTCCTGCCCCCACATACCCGTGGAGTGGCCACTGCAACACTGATGTCAATGTAATCCCTATACACCACCTCTTTGGCTGCATCATCAATCACTATGAGAAAGAAAGCACAGGTTACTCAGAATCCCAGAGTGAAAACTATGGAATTACAAATGCTAATTGGCTGCAACAATGAATGCTTTTTAAAAAAAAAACGAACGGGGTTGGTGGGTAGGGAGGAAATGCAAAAATGAAAATCTAATTTATCTATAAACTTTCATTAAAATCACAATAAAAGTACAAAAGGTAATTGGCACTCATCTTGCATCCGTATCAGAGAGATTTCCCACGTCCCCAGATTGAGCCTGATCATAGGCAAACCTGGGGGCTCCATCCACCGACTTATACCAGACAAGTAATACATTAAGTTCTTGTTAACTAGTTCAACAGAACTCTGCAGGTAAGGGGTAGATTTACAAGTGCTACAGAAAAGGCCAATGAACAAAGAAAAATGGAGAAGGGTTGCTGCCCATTCTGATTCCTCCTCTGAACAAGCGTTAATGACAGCCTCTTTCTAGGTGATTCGAGGTAAAGGAGGAGGGACCTAGATTTAGCTACATTAGCTTTAGACAGCAAGTTAGCAGGTAAAACTTCAGGTCTAGGACTCATGACAAAATACAGGTTAATAGATCTGGGAATCTGTTCTCCAGATAGAAAGTCTAGGCTGTATCATTAGAGAAGATACTAAAGAAAATCATGTAATACTGAGAAAAAGACCAACAAAACATGTGGGCAGGCAGAGGGGCCAACAGAGCTGCAGAGAGTACCATCAGGAAGGTAGGAGAAGATGTGAGGAAACTGAGGCACTGTATTTTTTGCACAAATAACATGAGTATTTTTTATGGTTTTTCCTCCCCTAAACCATACAACCCTTTTTACATCTTCGTTTTCTATGTGTGCTCTGCATGTTACAGGAATGTGAACATTACTTCCGACTGTGCATTATTTGTGTATAGTACACATTTTTTGCAAAACAAAGATGGTCCTTCTATCTACTTCAAGCACACACTCACCAGCAGGGCCTAGGCTTTCTATTTCTAGATCTTTAGGAATCCTGGCAGTGCTAAGGGTTGATTACAAAGTATCAGTCTCTCTCCAGTGCTCACTTCTGGCAGTCCACATACTAAAATTGGAATGATGCAGAGAGTAGCTTGGCCCCTGTGCAAGGATGACACGCATAGTTTCTCTCCAATCTTTCAGGGCACAGGGAACTGTCTCAATAGAAGTAAGGAAACAGCATTTTAGGCCAACACCTCATAATAACAAGGGGAAACAGAAAGGAAGCAAAAAGAGCACCAAGTCTGTAAAAGCGGGTGCAAGCCCAAGGCCTCCCAATCTGGCCCACTGACCAGAGAGTAAAGGTTGCCCCAGAGTCACTGCCAATGGTGGAAGTCAGGTTCCAAGAGAACAGAGCCAATGGGAGGAGGGTGCCCGCTGGGACGGGCGCATCAGCCCTGACACCACACAGACTGGAGGGCTGAGCTGCCCCAGCTCCGCCTGCTGTTAGAGCAGCTGCCGACCTGTGCACCAGGAGAGAACCTGCACTGTTTAGCTGGCGGGGAAAAGATAACCGTGGCACTATTTTGGGAAACCAAAAATGAAGGTGAGTCAAGAGATCCTTTGAGAAGGCATTCATGTCTTCCTGAGAAGGAAAATCCAAAGCCTCAGCCTGTGAGCCTCATTGCTGTGTCCGCATCTGAGAGAGTGCACTATGTGTTCACTCGTACTTTCTAGGAGCTCCACAGTCCTGCCCACCATCGACTCACCTGCATTTACAACAGGCTGCTCCTGTAAGGCAAAGGCCGAGGCCTTCACAAATGCCGACATGAAGCCTAGTTTAAGGTTATGTTTCTTCAGAAAAGCATCTTTGTGCCGGGCCCTCATCTCCTGAATGTTACTGCAAGAACACATTACAAAAGAATATTACACTCATGAAGCCGTCACTTTGACTTTCACACCAGTTTCTAATTCCATGGACACAACCGAGTACGCTCTTGTCTTACTCTGGGCCATCTTCCCAAGTTCAAGTTCTGAAATAGTCCTCTAGCAACAATAACTTTGCTTTGTTCCTTGGTTTGTTTTTAAAAAATAACACCAAAAAATGAGTATAAAGAATCAGGTCCACCTTGTCTTTTTAGGTTGGGGTGGGCCCTAACGATGCTCCTTCACATTTCAGAGTCACAGATTTCAGTGGCAGACAGCAAGAAACGAGAGATGACAGAGCACAGCAACATTCTTACCCTGGACCACAAAGTGATATTCAGCCACACTAAAATCATCACGGCACAGAGTGGGCTTCAGCTCGGCAGAGACTGTGAGGATGGTACAAGGTCAGGCAGCGCTTTGTTCTGCTGTACACTACGTGTTGGGTCCCACCCACAGCACCTAACTACAAAAGCAGGGGCTGCTATTAGTTCTGGGGCTGACACTATCTTCTCAGGAACCTCTGCATGCGTCCCAACTGAAGGATACGAACTTGCACCACCCCAGGACTTCAAAATCATGAGCTATTTATTCTAAAATTAAGTTTTTTAAAAGCATCGACCAAGTCTGCAAACTAATATTCTTTTTAAAATTATTTTCAAAAACGACAGAACGCGATTATGACTTACAACATCCTGATTTGCAGAGATTTAAAAAGAATCTGTATAGGTCCCATGTGAATAAATGTAGTCATGTCTGTACAGGTAGCGTTCTACTTATAATGACAATTCCAGTGTAAGTCAGTTTGATGTAAACCATCCCTACTTTTTAACAGTTTTCTTATTACTACTATTTATTATCAATATCTTTCTAAATTCCATTTTTGTCTTTAGTGGTTGAAAAAACTGCCTATAAACTTGCAGATGTGACTACAGATTAGGCACTGTAACGCTGGATGTAGTACGTATTATTAACAATCTCACTGCCATTGAATCCAGTCACACTCCACTGGATTCCGAGGCTGTAAATCACACAAAAGGAGACTGCCCAGCTTTCTCCCACAGAGACACTGCTGGATTCGAACCACCAGAGGGGAGCAGCACAACTCCCTAAAGACTCCGGAATCAGAGATCTTGTCAAATACTAAATAAAATTTACAAGACAAAGACATTCATAAAGGCAGTTTGCCTTAATGCGAACATCATAAATGGGGGCTACCTGAACATGGAGGACAAATGTGTTTTTAGGTTCACCTCAAAGTCAGAAGGGTCATTTTTCCCCTCCCCAAAGTTAACAGATATACCACTTATGCAAACCAGTTCAAAACTCCCACCACAATGTAAAGATCAATTCTGGAAAAAGATTAAGACATAATATTTCTCATTAAGATTAGCAGAATGGGTGTGGTTTCCTTGGCATTTAGGAACATGGCTGTGTGTGAAACTAGGAGTAACTCGTAAGATAAAACTTAATATAGGTTCTAGTCAGGGTCTTGTAAGATGTCTTTCAAACATAAAGAGCCTTCATTCCTCAGAAATGGTTTTCCCATTTTTGTACAGAAATTTACTGGAATGTGTTAGCATTTATCGGAACAGAGTTCTGTGATGGAAATTAAATTTAACTTCATCTCAGCCCCAAATGCTCAGTTCTCCCTTTCTTCTAATAACGGCTTAATTTGACATTAGCAAAGATAAGATATGGTACAACTTTAAGTCCCTCTTCAAACCTTATGTTTTTGAAAAAGGAAGTTTTCCCAGGAGAACTGATTGGGTTTAAAATGGCTGTTTTCCTGAGTCTAACCTGATTTAGTGCTAGGATTACCACCCTAAAGACATTACTGGTTCCCAAGACACAACAGATGCAGAAGAGGGAAGGAGAAGTGATAAACATCTCTGCTCTCAAGCCTGTCCAAATGTTATTGTCTGGTCATTAAGTCGTTTCTATTTCAGAGCTGTGGCCTTCGAGGCCCGGGCTGAGATGACAAGGGAGAAGTAGTGGTCTCGGAAGGGCCTCTTATGGGCTAGCTGATGAGAACGAGAATCTGAAGGGCACTCGATATAAACCCGATTAGATCTGCAGTGAGACCCCAGCCCACAGTTAAGTGACACCTTGATTAGCAGCTGAAAGGAGATCCAGCTACTGCACTTACTTCCCAATCAACGCTGTTGGGCCAACTAAATCTTTCAAGGCCACAAATATTTACATGTTTGTCTTAAGGAATCGGATAGAATTTCAAAGACCAATTCAATTTGTGTACAATTTGGCCCTAATGCACTGTAACCCAAGCTGCAGGTTTCTAATCATTAGTAAGGTCCTTCCTTATAGTCTATGGCCAGAATAGAAATCTTTGGCTTGAATGACATCCAGTCTCCTTAAGAAGTTCCATCACAGTAGGATGGGAGACATCTATCTAGTACAACAGGCCATGGAGCCCTACGCTGTCAAAAACACCACACAAAGTTAGGAATCCATTCTCTTAGTATTCTGTGCTCCATCCAAAGAAAAACAAATTTCCTTCCAGAAAAGGAGATAAGAACACTTAATACTCTGAAAAAAAGAATGGAAGACTAAAAGGCCTCATGCATTATCTACTGAATTACACATCAACTTCTTAATCTAGAATTCACAAAATATTCTGATATATATATACAACCTTATGGATTTTTTCTTACATATACATTTTCTGCATAGAAGAAATGATACCTTGCTGTTTCTCAAATGTGTCTCGTACTTTCTTGCCCTGGTACCATAATCCAAACTACTGAGATCATCTAGAATGAGTAACTTTTCTCCACAACCATACCTATCAAAATGCTAATTAATTATCCTTCAGGGTCTACTTAAAATCTCTTCCCTCCAGGAACACGTTCCTAACCTTACCTACTCTATCTCTGCTCCCACCCCAAACATATGACCTCCCTCTTTTCTGCCCTCATACTCAGGTTTACCGGTCGGATACTTTGCTAAATTTTACTTTGGGTTTGTCCAAGGCAAACGTTAAGCCCTGATACATTAAGGTCATTAATTACCATAGCACTTCGTAAACAGTAAGCACTAAAGTCTGAAGTTTCATTATATTCTCTTCCCTATAGTGCTCACATGCGTACACCTCAGAATTTCTGTATTTGTAAACAAAAAAGGAGAAAATTACCTCATCACAGAAATAGGTATTCTGAATCAATTCCGATGGTTCATATTCCAAAGTCTTTATTTAAAAATACCATCTTTCATTCCATTATCAAAAAATGAAAACTATGACAAGCCTTTACAACTTTTCACCAACCCCAATTCAATGGCCCAGGAACAAGTATAAGCAGCAGCCATCACAAGGAAGGAGCCGAGTGCGCTGCCCTGGGTGCAGCGGTGCTATCAAGCGAGCCCACTTTCCCTGGTGGAAGTCTGGGGGTAAGCCCTATGGGCCTGGGTGCCCCTCTCTGCTCCGCTCCACACACTAGTCACTGGATTTTAAGACTATTCCCTTATTTATCAAAGACCGAAGGTATAAAATTCTAAAAGGTTCATACACTCATACACTCTCAAGAGGAGGTAGGTGTGGCATTTAAAAATCAATCAGAGGACAAAAACCAATGGATCCCTATGTTAGTCAACAACAGGGATCCAAACAGGATCCTTCCCTGCCAAGTCAGGTTTGGAATCAGGACTGGGTAGAAACTAGGGCAAGTTCAAGTGTTTTTCAGGAGAAGGCGGCATGGAAAATGAGAAAGTAAAGGTCTCACACCTCATGTCAACCTCATTGAAAGTAGTCAGCATAGCACACGTATTCTGGGCTTCCTTCAGACGCTGAGCAATGCGCTGCCGCATCCTGTTCATTTTCTCCTGAAAATGAGAGAACAAGTACTGACAACCGGGTCTCTTCAGATCAAGCATTCCCCACTGAGCGAGCAGGAGCATGCAGCCTGCCAGGAGGAGATGGCTAAGGACCACAGGAACAGAGAACCTAAGTACCACGAGGGCTCCAGCTTCCTGTCCTGTGGTGGGGGCCTTGGCACTGAGCAAGAAAGAGAAACCATGGGCAAAAACCACTCACTCAGACGTGCCTGAAGTCTGACCAAGAGCAAAGGCCCAGGAAGTGACTTGATTTAAAAACCCAACCCAACCCAACTGACAAAAAGGAAGAGTGTGGCTTATGTGAGGCAGCCCAAGAATCATTACAGAAAGGGCAATTTCTGGGGATAGAAAAGAACTTACATGAAAATAGATACTTGTGGAGAGAAACATGCAAAGGAAACTCATGAGTAACACGTTTTTGAGGCTATTTTTAGACAGTGTTTTCAGGTAAGGAAACCCACACTCTTGCCCATTACTTCCTTGGGGTTTTAGGTCTGCCCCTGACAGCTACGGGTACCAAGTAGCCCTTGGCTAAGCAGTGCCAAAGTATAAGAACAGCATTCACTATATCATCTATTTGAAATGAGGAAAATTACTAATCTACCAACTCCTGCAAATATTTTACTTAAGGCTTATAGTGGAAACACAACTGGGCCAGTGAATTTAGAAAAACCTCAGTATCGGGAGAGATGTTTAGAAGGGATACATGATTAGGTACTATTGTCACAGGAGTCTAGAACGTAAGCTGCATAGAGTGGATTGGACCTGGGGGAGGGATTGTATAGCAATGAAAGAATTTTTCTTTTACTTTTCAAAGAAAAGAGCAAATTGGAGGGGAGGGGTGGGCAGGGAGAAAAGTGCAAAAATGAATGAATGGAAATCTAAAATCTCTGTAAACTTTCATTAAAACTAATAATTTTTTAAAAAAACCACAACACAAAAAACCCCCTCAGTATCTAGTCCTGACCACAATCTCATGGCTATGCAATTAAGAGCAAATTGACTCATTTTATTTCCCAGAGAGGAGACATTTGTTATGCATTTCAAATAAAATAATCTAACACAAAATCCCTTTATAAACACCAACAATTACCATCCCAATGATACTATGGTAAGGAGTAACTGAAGGAAGGAAAGTGTCAAACAAAATTAATCCTAAAAGTCAGCATTTAGTATGGACTGTGGAGAGAGAGAAATGCTCCCTAATTGAGGCTGAAAAGATCCTATTCACAGATTAGTTAATCTGTCTCCTTATCTTTCTACATAATCCTAGAGGGTCAAACTCGATTTCTTAAAGTTGCGATCAGTCTTTACTAGGAAAATACATTCTTATTAAGTAAGAACTAAATACATTCTTTTGAGAAACAAAAAGCAACAGAATTAATTCAATGAGTAGAATATATTCAATCCTAAATGTATTTATTTCTTCATCTGAACATACCTGATCTGACCCATATATGATGCCACTGTTGTAGAATGGGACTGTCCTTGGGGTTAGGGAGACACTGAGTAAGATGGGTTCAATAATGTATACTGCACTGAAGCAGAGGAGGGAGAGAACCGTCTAAAAGAGAGATGTAACTGGGTATTTCTGTCATCACAGGAGACTAGAGCGAGGGCTGCATGGTGGAGGGGACCTGGGCGAGTGTTTGTAAAACAATGAAAGAATCTTTTCTTTTACTTTTCCATAATTTTTGGACTCATGTACTTATAACTTGTTAGTCAAATTTGTGTCTTCTAGGTTGCAACACCCCCATGATACATCTTGAAGGATATGTACATGTACAGCCAAGCACAATCAATAAGAGTGCATCTGAATTCCAAAATCAATCTCCATAATAGTCTATGTGTTTCCTACTGCCAAAGGGGCCCTTTAGAGGAGTGAGAGAAGATCTTCACCCTGAAACCCACAGCGTCCCTTTTCAGCAGGAAGTAGCTAAGAGAATACGCCGTCCCCTTTTCCTTATGACTCAGGGTGAAGTCTCTCTCAGGGAGGAGTGATAGGGAATGGCAAAGGATACACTGACAAAGAAGATTAATCAGAACTGGCTTTGACAAGCACTGTGGCATTTGGACAAGAACAAACTGGGAGGAGGGTAGAGAGAATAGTGCAACAATGAATGAGTGGAAGCCCAAAATCTCTGTAAATGTTTATGAAAATTAATAAAATATAATTATAGAGAAAAAAAAAAAAAAAGAAAGAATCTCTAATTTCTAAAACCCTGGTCTAAAAATTTTAGAATTCTGCCAAGTTCAGTGTTTACCTTGACACCAGCAAAGGAGCTTTTAAATTCTGAGAATAGTAAATCCAACCTACATTCCCCAGAGGTCATCAAGGCTGTGAAGGGAGTGAGCTGCAGGGAACCTGGCCATTCAATGGTAAGCACTATCTCAACAATGTCGTCCACATCCCTCCTCACGGTGGTCCCCAGAGGCTTACCCGGTGTTCTGAACGCAGACCTGGGCCAGCTCCGGGCTCAGCTGCTGGCGGAGCAGCGGTGGGCTTTACTGCAGACACTGAAAGAGGAGAGGGATGGCTTCATGAGAAGGAAAGTAATCTTGCCTGCTAGTGCTTTCAGACTGTACTGTCAATCTGGCCTCAAGATCCTCTGAGGTGTGGGGTATAGTACCACTTTACAGATTAACAATCTGCTGAGAGGGTAAGGAACTAGCCTAAAATCCTACAGCCAGAAAGCAAAGTTAGGATGTAAATCCAGCTTTTCTGATAGAAAAATCTAGTGTTTGCTCTTCAAAGCAGCCAGCTGCGCCTGTTCAGAGCCATTATTAGCGTCAAGTGTTACCCTGTTGGAGAACACGACATGAGACGCTCTCCCACACACAGACCCGTGGGAGTTAGAGGCTCACCCGGTTTGCTAGCAAGAGGTTGTGAGGGCGAGGGCACTGGAGGCATCTGAGTGGGGATGGGTGCGGCCGAGGGAGGAGGAACCGGGGGCGCTGTCGGCTCTGCTTTCGGGGCTGCAGCAGCAGGAGCTTCAGCTGGTTTAGCCTTAGCAGGAGCAGCTGAAAAAGAAAACAGATGCCTGTGACACCAGCTGAATGGAACATACATAGATGTAAATAAGCAAAATTTAGCAGCACAAAAGCTCTCTCTTCCATCAAGTAACAAGTATCTGTGAGGATGTGCTATATGCCAGGCACCAAGGAGACACACAATGAGGCATGGAACTAGACTTCTATGACACAGGGCTCCCACATGTTAATCAGATAACTGGCTCAGTTCAGTTCTCCTCCTGATTTCACAAATCACTACCAGAATTGAAGTCAGCAAGTCATTTCAAAGCATCCACTAAGCTTAAGGAAATGTAAACTTCCATGCAAGGAAAACAGGCAATTGCAAATGTTGAACAACAACAACAAAAAAAAGCTGAATGACATAAAATATACATCTAATTACAGTAATACCAATAGTGTCATCTTCTATTATATTATCACACAGGAATGGCCACTCTTGGCTATTAAAAAAAGCTGAAGTAATTAAGGGCTCATTTAAGCTTAAGAGTTCAAAGTATATCATTGAGGACTAACTCAATCAAGGTGGCAACAATAAATGTATATCTGTAAATTACACAATCAATTGGATTTGGATTCTTACCCATCTGAACATTAGGTTTCATTTTATCTTTAAATCATAAAAAGTTTTAGTTTAACAAGGAATGAATGATCACAACACGGAACTCTTCAAATTTAACAATGCCTCCTAAGTCCTTGTCACCTACAACATGCTTTTGCCATGGGGGCTCTACCCTTGATGACATAACCTACCATCTCTCTGCTTGATTATTTCAAAAACAAAGAAGAAATAAGCATTAGCAGTTGAAACATACTGAGAGAAAAGCTTATTTTCTTGATAAGATCTGATACAAGCTTCTGTCTGTGTTTCTCATTTTCTTTCCAACCAAAATATTAACAGATTTAAAAAGAAACGACACTGACTTCTCTGTACAACCCACTGCTACTGAGCTGCTTCCAACTCACAGTAACCCTACCGAGTTTGCATGGCTATAATCTTTCTACACAAAGACTGCCACAGCATTTTCCCTCAGAGCGTCCAGCGGGTTTGAACCACCAACCTTTAAGTTAGCAACTGAGCTGCTGTTTTGTTTTTTGGTTTTTTTTTTTTAAGTTTTGGGGTTTTTTTTATAATTTTAATGAGCATTTACAGAGATTTTGGATTTCCATTCATTCACTGCTGCACTTCTCTCCCCGCCCAGCCCCACCATGAGCAGCTGTTTTAACCAATATGCCAGTAGGGCTTCCTTAACAGATATTAGGAAATATTGCTACTTCTCACTTGAGATCACTGAGAACTTAAGAACATTCAACCCTGGGTATCAATTAGGGCGTATCTGAAATATAAAACAAAAACACTGCAGACTCCAGACTCAGTGCATGAGAATTTCTGGGACATGGAGGTTAAGGTGTTTGTATTATTTTAAGGCCTCACATGATACTAGGGTTGGGGTAAAAAACAAAACAAAACAAAACTCTATCTTTAGAATCTTCATAATACATGGAAACAACAGTATTATGGGGCTTATTATAAATAAACCAGTTGGTAGATTTGAACTGCCTGCCTTTGGGATGGCAGCACAATTCCTTAGCACTAAACTTACGGGAGCTCTGGTAGCCTAGTGGCAAGGAGTTGCACTGCCAACCAGAAGGCACACAGCCCAAATCCACCAGCTGCTCTGAGGGAGAAAGATGAGCAAACTCGTCCAGTGCAGTTTACAGCCTTCTGAAAACCCTCTGGAGGGTCAGCTATGGATTGGTTCCTCTAACAACACATTATTTGTAAAAGTTATCCTTGACATTTATGGTTCACACCGGAGAAACATTGCTTCTCCTCAACTAAGGTCAGCTGGGATGCCAAAGGGTTTTAACAGAGCTTTGAACCAGTTCATTCTGGTTTGATCTTTTGCTGCTATTCTGTATTTCCACCCCAGAAAGAGTGCGAATCAGTAAGAATCACCAAGAATCTTAATAAAATGTAGATTCTAGTTCAATATATCTGGAAGAGATGTACAAATTGTAAGCAGGAGTCAGTGTGTTCAAAGGCCTGTGTTGAAGGTATCGGAATCAGTACATTATGCTCAGCCTCAATTTCAAGGGGGAGCAGTGGAGACCTTGACAACCAGGAGAGCTTCTTTACCGCCAGTTTTCCTGAGTGTGAAAAGAGGAGTGCCGCCTTCTACTTTGCCCCCATCAGGTACCAAAAGAGCTTCAATCACGCCATGTGCTGGTGAAGGAACCTGCACGGATGTCTGTAAAAGGAAGAGAGATTGAGAAAGTTCAACTGTTAGTCAGCATGAGAGTATTAACTGTACAGAATCTTATAAATTATGAGCACAAGAGTTAAAAACAGATTGCAAAACCCTGCACAAAAGAAGCTGACTCCACATTCTCAAAGAGCAGGAACAGGTCAATGTGACGGTGAAGATTTATCCTTTCTTTAACACATTAAAGCAGTATCCGGGGAGCTTTGGTGGCCTAGTGGCAAGGACCTGCAACTACAATCCCAGAGGCGCATGGTTCGAATCCACCAGATGCTCTGCCGGGGAAGGAGGGACAGTCTCCTGTACCAGTCAGATCTGATTTGACGGTACACGTACAAAAATAATAAAATTTAAAAAAAAAAAGCCGTATCCATGTGATACATGAAAAAGAACTAGAAATAGTTCATGCAAATTTGCTTTAAAGTTAAAAAGCTACATAAATACTAAAGGAAACACATGCAGTCTAAAATTAAAATTCTCCTCCCCTGATTTTAAGAAGCTAGTGTAGTATTTTTGCAGGTTGAGGTCTGAGAAAGTCAAAACTTGCTTTTTTAAACAGTGAAGTTCTATCTTGTTTCTGTCATTAGGTTAAGAAGCCAAGGGAGAGCCTCAAAAGTTATCTTAAGATAGGACAAGCTTACCTTGTCAGTTTCAATCTCACAAACCACTTCATCTTCTGCAACTGTATCTCCAACAGCTAAAAAGATAGTCAGAGGCCACTGATTAGAGAGAAGCCTACAGCAGCCACAACTCCCCCTTTGGCAAGTGTGTTCATGGGAGAGGGTGTACTTTATGCAGGAAGTGGGGTGGGGTCGTGAGATCTACTCATTTCGGGGAGAGGGGGCTTTTACAGCAATTTAAATTTAACTGAGACATCACTCCATCTTACCTTTTTCCCACCTGACATCCCCCTCTGTTACAGATTCTGCAAACGCTGGGGTTTTGACGGTAACCACATCATCCTCTAGAAAAGAGAAAGGGGGTGAAAAATCACAAGTAGTTTTCCTGTTTAACTCTTTGCTTTAATTAAAGTCAATTAGTGCGGACCTTCCCTTTAGAACTCCATCCCCAAGGAGGTCGGCAGGTGGACACAGATACTTACTGCACACGCCTGTCGTTCTGAAGTAGCGAACACTGAAGACACTACTATTGTTTATGCTACAAAAACAAAACAGAAGTTAACGCCTTTAGCAGGTGAGCCACTAATAAATATTCTATCCCAGTTAAGGCAGCGGAGGGGAACCTTTCCAAAGCATTCACACCCAGGGCCCACCCAAGCGTTCTGACTCAGCAGGTCCAGGGGTGGGGGGTGTTGAAGACTTGGAGGTCTTTAACACTGAGCTCCCTTGGGAGTCCAGGGTGCTGGGCTGCATGAAATCTCAGCTCTCTCAAAACAGAGACGTACTTGGTTCTCTGAAGAAAAACCTAAGAAACCTGGTCTTTCGCAGAACTTTTATATAAAAAGGACTTGGCTCCTAACTTTGGTCCAAGAAAGGCAAATGCGTGCCCTCAGGTTACATGCTGTTGTGACATAGACAATGCAATGTCTGTCCTCAGGATTGCAGATTAAGAGCAGATAAAGCAGCAAGATGAGACCTTTAACACAGTAGATCAAGTAAAACAAGGTGCTATCTATACAAGTAAATAAATTATCCACCACTCCACAAAATGAGGCACCTGCTAGGCCATTCTCTTACTAAGATGCAGCACATCAGCCTGTTCCAGACACATTCATGACGAACCTCAGAAGGATATTTTTTAAAGGTGTTTATTTTAAATAACATACACTGGAGCATGGATCCTCCTTCACGCCCAAAGCCATTAACAGTGGTACCTCTGGGGTTTGCGGGATGCAGGTATCTACAGGTAATAATAGCTTTAAGTGCCTGTACATATATCTCTATGTTTTGGTGGGGATGACTTGAACTGACAGGCATTTTCTGTACCAGCACTGTCTGAATATATTCAACAAGTATTTAAACAAAAAACTGCAACTCATTGCTAGTGAATTTTAATTGAGCTCACCCACAGCCGACCCTCCAGAGGGTTTTCAGAAACTGAAATCACACGAGAGGAAACTGCTCCTCTCTCTTCCGATGAGCCACTAGTGGATCTGAACCACCAGAAGGGCAACAAGGGTGAGGTAGTGGTGTAACTCCCTGGAGACTATAACATCAGTGCCCCTCTCCAACAAGCATCTATCACCTTTACAATAGAATAGTCAAACAGATTCAAGTTCTTTTGGTAGCTTTACAATGATAATGCCTAAGTGAATTATAAGGTTTATGTAGACCCAAGGGGGAAAAGTGTATTGTGGGGACGGATAAAAACAATATGCTGAAGTCAGAATGTTCTACATAATGCTTGTGAAGCGTGTAAAAGTTCACAATGATGGCAGGAGCTAACAGGTAAGGTGCAAACGTTCTGCACTGGCACCAAAGATCCCATGCCTCTGGGGGGGAAACCGTAGTGGACAAGGACAAATGATTTCCCATGGATTCCTTCTATTTGTTTAAGCATATAAATGTAACATCTATTAAACAAAAATGTAAGACTGAGAAAAAGCTATTTAAAAAATTTTTAAGTGCCGTAAAACAATACAAAAATAGACGTGCAGCCAGAATGCTCCTCAGAGGCAAGGATGCTGATACTTCATCTCACGTACTTGGGCATGTTGGTCAGGAGGGGCCTGTTCTTGGAAAAGGGCATCACACAGGAAAAGTGGAGGGTCAGAGAAAGTGAGGAGGATCTCAAACAAGATGAACCAACACAGTGACTATAATAATAAACCTGAACACATCAGAGATGTGAGGATGGCACAGGATACGGCAAGGTTCAGATCTTTGGTTCAGAGTCCCTCTGAATTACAGTGGACTTGATAGCACCTAACAACAACAACAGCTTAGAGTGATAAAATCAACAGTGATTTCCCTGCCACTAAAATTCCGTTTCTGAAGTCTAGTTTCTTAAACCATTTTTTAGTATTTATTGCATAAACGTCTAGATTTCTACAATTCTCATTTAAACTGCAGATGAACAGCATATTCTGAAATGCTAAATTGTTTTAATTATGAAAAAGCCTCCGGCGCTGGCTGAAAATCGCCTGTGACTTCATCCATAGCCACTGGTGAGAGTCAGCGCCCAGAGCCATCAGGGGCTTTAAGCTCGTTGCCCACTGCTGTGGTGTAGACAGCTGAAACCCAGGCCCCAACAGGCACCTTGGGGTGGGGGGAACCCAG